CGGGCTCAGGCAATCCACTCACCTCAGCCTCCCAAAATGCTGGAATTACAGGCTGAGCCACTGAGCCTGGCCCATCCCAGTATTTTGAGAGGCCAAGGGAGGAGGATAGCTTAAAGTCAGGAGCAAAAATTTTTTAAATTTTTCCATATAAAAATTTAAGGAGATTCTGCTTTCAAGGGTAGTCGGAAAAGGGAGGAATCTGTCTAAGGAGAAAAACTATTAGATTTTTAAAATTCTGAATGAGGCCAGGTGTGATGGCTCAAGTCTGTAATCCCAGCACTTTGGGAGGCTGAGGCGAGAAGACTGCCTGAGCCCAAGGGTTTGAGATCAGCGTGGGCAACATACTGAGACCTCGTCTCTATGATAAAAACAATTAACTGGGTGTGATAGTGCGTGCCTGTAGTTCTCACAACTTGGAAGACTGAGGTGGAAGGATCGCCTGAGCCCAGCAGGTTGATGCTGGGGTAGCCAAGTGAGTATGCCACTACATTCCAGTCCGAGCGACGGGAGTAAGACTCCACCTCGAGCCGGGCTCGGTGGCTCAGCCTGTAATCCCGCGCCTTTGGGAGGCTGAGGTGAGTGGACTGCCTGAGCCCGAGGGTTCGAGACCCGCCTGGGCAACTTGGCAAGACCTCATCTCTGCAATAAATCAAAAAAACTAGCCAGGCGTCGTAGTGCACACCTGTAGTTCCAGCTACTTGGAAGGCTGAGGCGGAAGGATCGCCGGAGCCCAGCAGGTCAAGGCTGCGGTGACCGCGAGCGGCCACTGCACTCCAGTCTGGGCGACAGAATGAGACTCCAACTCAACAAAACCCCAAAAAACAAAGACTCCACCTCACTGGGCTCGGTGGCTCAGCCTGCAATTCCGCGCCTTTGGGAGGCTGAGGTGAGCGGACTGCCTGAGCCCCTGGGCAGCGAGACCTCATGTCTACAATAAATCAAAAAAGTTAGCTGGGCATAGTAGCGCATGCCTGTAGTTCCAGCTACGTGGAGAAGGCTGAAGTGGAAGGATCACCGGAGCCTAGCAGGTCAAGGCTGCGGTGGGCAGGAGCAGCCACTGTACTCCAGTCTAGGCGACAGTGAGACTCCAACTCAAAAAAAAAAAAAAAAAAGACTCCATCTCAAAAACAATTTTTTTTTTTAATGAAAATTAACCTTATCAATAAATAACTTTATGATAAAATGGGTTAACTAGGCCTCAAATTCTAAGCCTCTCTTCTCAAGTAATAATGTCATACGTATGAACTTTTCCACTGAAAACATTATCAGCCAGGTGTGGTGGTTCAAGCCTGTAATCTCAGCACTTTGGAAGGCCAAGGTGAGAGGACTGTCTGACTTCAGGGGTTCAAGACAGCCTGGGCAACTTGGTAAGACCTCATCTCTACAATAAATCAAAAGAAATAATTAGTCGGGCGTGGTAGCGCGCACCTGTAGTTCCAGCTACTTGGAAGGCTGAGGTAGAAGGACCGCCTGAGCCCAGCAGGTTGAGGCTGCACTGGCCGTGAGTGTGCCACTGCACTCCAGCCTGGGCGACAGAGTGAGACTCTGACTCAAAAAAAGAAAACAACGATTATCAAAGGCATTTCCTATTCATAAAATCATTAGGGTAATTTTGGCAAAGCTTAAAACAGAAAGTGTAGTACACTTAGATCAAGAGGGTTAATTTTTTTCCCCAGTTAACTATAGACTTACCTATCCATGTCATCATCTCCAGGTAATAAGGGTGGGAGGGGCAGAGGAGGCAATGTTGACGTTTTTAGGTGTGGAATAGCAGCTGTTACAGATACTTGAGTCTTCACAGAAACCTGTACAGGGGGCTGAGAATTTGCCTGAGAGGATAGAGCAGATGTCCTTGGGTGAGTAGAAGGGGGCAAAGTTGAAGTACTAGAAATAGGAACCTGACTAAATGCTGCTTGGGGAGGAGGCAGAGGTGGTTGCTGTGGAACAGCTGGTAGTGGAGGTAAAGGTGGCAAAGGGGGTGTCTGAGGTGGAGGGGTAGTAGTTGGTAAAGGGGGTGGAGAAGTAACTGCGGGGAGAGGTGGAGGGGGGGTCTCCTTTTCTGATGTCTCTGTCTCCTTTGGAGTAAGAATCTCCTCTTTCAATGCTATGGGCTTAGAGTCTCTTGTTCCCTGTGCTTTCAAATCTTTAACAGGATGCTTCTCAGAGTTCTCATCCAATTTTGCTTTCCCTGTTTCTAAAGAATTTCTGACCTCTGTGTTTAGATGTGTTACATTCACCAGTTCAGGATCTGGGACAGACTTTTCCAATTTTATACCTCTGGGTAACTTTTTAGACTCCAAGCCTGAATCCTTGGCCTCTACTGAACTGTTCTCTTTTCTAGGCAAAAATATAGGTGACCCCTTGGATTCCTTTCCATCCATTTTTGCCGCCGCAGCAGCTGCTGCTCTTTCCTTCTTTTTTCTACTGAGTTCAGCTCCCAGGCTGGAATTCAGTGGAAGCCTAACAGGTGAGATACTGGAATGACGACTGCGTGACCCGGATCTCTTCTTTTTACTATGAGAAGATGAGTGTCTTGAATATGCAGGACTTCTACTTCTGGACTTCATGGATTTCCTACAGGGAGAAAAAGACAGTTTTAAATGAACAGTCTACAGTAATATATGGAGGAAAATACATTAGCAAATCAAACTATGGAAAATTGTTAACTTTAACATCCATCTTGAGTAATTTATCAATCTTAAAATAGATTACATGTAATCAAAAATAAGGAAAGTCTGAGAAACCACCCCAACAAAGAAGAGCCTAAGGAGACACAATGACTAAATGTAATAAAGTATCATGGATAAGATCCTGGAACAGAAAACAGACATTAGGTAAAGATGAATAAATAAAACTAAAGAAAGTATGTACATCATTTAATAATTATGTACCGAGCCAGGCTCGGTGGCTCACCCTGTAATCCCAGCGCTTTGGGAAGCTGAGGTGAGTGGATTGCCTGAGCCCGCAGGTTCGAGACCCGCCTGGGCAACTTGGTGAGACTTCATCTCTACAATAAGTCAAAAATTAGCCAGGCATGGTAGCGTGCACCTGTAGTTCCAGCTACTTGGAAGGCTGAGGCTGAAGGATCACCGGAGCCCAGCAGGTCGAGGCTGCGGTGGCTGGGAGCGGCCACTGCACTCTAGTCTGGGCGACCGAGTGAGACTCCAACTCAAAAAAAATAAATGAATAATAATAATAATAATTATGTACCGGCTGGGTGCAGTGGCTTACACCTATAACCCAAGCACTTCAGGAGGCTAAAGTGGAAAGACTTCTTGAGCCCAGGAGTTCGAGACCAGCCCAGGTAACATAGCAAAACCTCACCTCTACAAAAAATTAAAATAATGATGATGATAATGATGTAATAATATTGGTTCATTAATTGTAACAAATGTACTACACCAATGTAAGATGTTAACAATAAGGGAAACTGGGCGCAATGATGTATGAAAACTGTACTATCTTCACGATTTTACTGTAAATCTAAAACTACTCTAGAAAAATAAAGTTCATTTAAAAAAAGATTAGGAGGAACTAAATCCCTCATGAAAGCATACTTAAATAATATAAACCCCAAAATTATCCACTACTAGTCAATCAAAAGAAATGATGGATCAATACTTTTCTCCCACATTGAAAAATAAATAGTCATATTCAGGCCAGGAGTGGTGGCTCACACCTGTAATCCCAGCACTTTGGGAAGCCAAGGCAGAAAGACTGCTTCAGATTGGAGTTCAAGACCAGCCTAGGTAACAAAGCGAGACCGTCTCTAAAAAAAAAGTCAGAGCCAGGCTCGGTGGCTCAGTCTGTAATCCCGCACCTTTGGGAGGCTGAGGTGAATGGTCTGCCTGAGTCTGCGGGTTCAAGACCCGCCTGGGCAACTTGGAGAGACCTCATCTCTACAATAAATCAAAAATTAGCCGAGCGTGGTAGCGCACGCCTGTAGTTCCAGCTACTTGGAAGGGTGAGGCAGAACGATCGCTAGAGCCTGGCAGGTCGAGGCTGTGGTGGCCGGGAGCGGTCACTGCACTCCAGTCTGGGCGACAGAGTGAGACTACAACTCAAAAAAAAAAAAAAAAAAAAAATCAGCTGGGAATCATGGCACACACCTTTAGTCCCTGTTACTTGGGAGACTGAGGCTTCTAGAAGAAACATCTAAACCCGGGAGGTCAGGCTGCATTCAGTTGTGATTATGCCACTGCACTACAGCCTAGAGGACAGACACCAAGTCAATCCTTGGTCTCTACTGAACTGTTCTCTTTTCTAGGTCCTGACTCAAAAAAAAAAAAAAGAAAAAGAAAAAAAAAGAAAGCCATATTCACAATTATTACTTCCAGAATTGTTGGTTTTAATCTTTTATAAAGTTAAAACATGATAAAGAAATCATATTCAATAATAAAGGTGGGTTACATTGACCAGAAGTTAAAAGTAATTGCATGCTTCACCAAAATATAAATTTTGTTTTTGAGCTGGGGTCTCACTCTGTTACCCAAGCTGGAGGGTAGAGGCACAATCGTGGGTCACCGCAGCTTCAACCTCTTGGGCTCAGGCAATCTTTCTGCCTCAGTCTTCCAAATAGCTGAGGTGCATACCACCACACCCTAATTTTTTTTGTAAAGATGAGGTCTCCCTCGTTGCCCAGACCGGTCTCAAACTACTGGGCTCAAGCAATCCTCCTGCCTTAGCCTCCCAAAGTGCTAGGATTACAAGGATGAGCCACCATGGCTGGCCAAAATCTAAAATTTTAAACTAGAGAGCTATTAAACTTGGCAGATCTCAGGAAAATACATTGTTCATTGTATCCTCAGTTTATAATAAAGTTGCAAAGTTGAAAATAAAGTACTAAATAATCCCCAGTAAGATTTAGTATTTACAAAACAAATACATTGGAGAAAACGCTTTACCAAAATAATATATTAACATTCTCAAAATACGATGGTTCCTGGTACCTTTTTTTTTGAGTTGGAGTCTCAGCCTTCCAAGTAGCTGGAACTACAGGTGCGCGCTACCATACCCAGCTAATTTTTGATTTATTGTAGAGATGAGGGCTAAGTTGCCCAGGCGGGTCTCGCCCAGGTGGGTCTCGAACCTGCGGGC